AGCAGTTAATATTAAAAACTATTTTTAAAAATATGAACAGTTTTGATTCAGTCTACTCTGTAAACTTATCTTTTGTAGAAGGCTGAAGTGCCTCCTTGTTTGCATGTAAATTCACACATACATACCCAGCCACCCCTTTGGATATTGCACATTTAGGGCATCTTTACACACATTCTCGGGATGAGGTAGGGGCACTTTAATTAGAGCAGCTCCAAGAGCCATTCTAATTAAAGTGCCCAGAGTGTTATATGAATCAGTGTACACAAGCTGAAAAATGGCGGCAGGGGTGGAGGAGGGCACTTCAAGTAAAGCTTGTTGAATGAGCTTTTGTTAAAGAACCCCTATCACCATTTTTCAGTGTGGGGACACTAACAAATAAGACACAGATTGAGTCTTCTCCGATGCACTGCAATTACAGCATGGATCTAGGCATTAGGGCTGTGCAAAGCTTTGGGTGCTGATTCGATTCAGAGGAGATTTGGCTCGATTTGGTGGCTGAATCTCTGAATCCAAACTGAATCAGGAGACCAATTAAAAGGTCTGAATTGATTCGAAGCTCTCTGAATTGACTTGGAAATGATTTGGAAAGCTTCGGCAATTCGGGCCGTCCCTGCTTGCTGAAGCAGGGAGCTAGACCCTGACTCCATGCTGGTAAGTAGGGGCTGGAAGATGGGGGAGGGGACCATGGGGGGACCCCTGCCAGGCCTCATCCCCTCCCTGCTCCCCCAGCACCCCATAGCACTCTCTGACCCCCACCTGCTCCCCCCCCCATGGCTGCCCTGCCCAGCCCCAGCTCCTGGCTCTTTAAAAAAAAGCCCCAACTCACCAGCTGCTGCCAGATGGGGGGGCAATCCCCACTGCCCCCACTGCCGTACATTGCATGAGCCCCCTCTCCCAGCACCCCGCCGCATGGCTGCCCTGCCTCTCCTAGCTCCCGGCTCTTTAAGGAAAAAAAAAAAGCCCCGCACTCACTGACTGCTGCAGCAGCTGTTGGGGCTTCTGGGGTCTCGTGGAAGAGCCCCCCCATGCAGTGCGGGGCAATGGGAATCGCCCCCTGCCTGGCAGGACCTAGTGAGTCAGGGCTTTTTGTTTCTTCAAAGAGCTGGGTGCTGGGTCAGGCAGGGCAGACATCCACGGGGCTGGGAGAGTGGGCAGGGAATGAGGCCAATTCAGAGATTCAGCCAATTCAGTGGCGGGCAAATCTTCAAATCAGATTCAGGCAAATCATTCTGGGACAGTGATTTGAATCACCGAATCAAATCACTGTGCCCAAAATTGGCTGAATCCAAAACTGAAGTGAATACTAGCCACTTTGCACAGGCCTAATAGGCACCCAGTAATTGGTATAAATGCTGGACAGCTGCTGTGTGTGTACAGACACAATGTATTCTGCAGTCATCACAGGCTCAACCAATGGTTCATTGCAATGATCTTTGGATTACCTAAGCCAAGACCAGAGGGGTTTAGCGTGTCCTTGGCGAAAGATGGAGTCAGTTTCCGGATTTGGGAGTGAGGAACTCAGTTTATCAGATCACACCCCCAGCAGGGGGTTGGACTAAATCAGCATTTCTCAACTTGTGGGTCACAACAATATATGAACAGGTTGTAAACAAACTTTAAAAATAGATCAATACATTTTTAAAATGGATTCTCCTTTAAAGGAGAAAAACATGGGAAAGCATGGGTTTTTCTAGCCTGCAAGGGGCTGCTTAGGGGCCCCCTGCCCCACACACTTGGGGGGCTGGGGCCTGAGGGCAGGGGGCAGAGGATTGGGGGTGAGAGGTACTGGGTCAAGACTGGCCATGGTTGTTTACAAATGGTTCCTGGTAGAAAAAAGGTTGAGAACCACTGGACTAGATGACCTCTGTAGGACCCTTCCAGCCTTACTTCTTTATGAGTCTATAACATCTTTGATTCAGTCTGGTTCCCTCTATACATATGCTGAACATATAGTAAAGCGTCTCTACTGCTCTTTTGTTCTAAATGCTGTTGTGACAATATTATTAACTTTCTCTTTTCTCTCTCTCTCTCTCTCTCTCTCTCTTCTTTAATAGATGGCAGGAGATACGCTTCTGATGATGAACACCAATATTACAAGCTTGACCTAGAGGACTTGAATGCAATTTTAAAAAGTAATTTTTTAAAATACGTTTTTGACAAATACCTCTGTTAGATGCATTTATAGATAAACTTTTAAAACATTAGGGTGCAAATGTCCAGGAGGTATAAATTGTCGTCGCTCAATTAGACAATTTGTAGCAGTTAAGGATCCATCCCTTGCTTTGCAAACTCAGTATAAATCTGATTACACCAAAGAATACACCAAAGGCAATGTTTTCCAAAATTCCCGGTTAGCCACTCCCTGCTCCAAGTGAAGCACTGAAATCCACAGGAGTGATTCAAGGCTATGCACAATATATTGGCAAATCCTGCACCACATCTACACAAGGGATTCAATTAGCTCTTAAATCAGTTATATGTGGTGCTCTGCCATGGGTAATGTGCCTAATAATAATGGAGGTGGAACTTCTGATTGATCAACACATGGTGAATAATGGCATTATTGCACATTGACACTGGTGTCGACACTCTTCCTAAGGAATGAATGTGTAGGGATATACCGGGTGTAGGGGGTACAAGCAGTAATGAGTAAAGGTAAAGGGGTACACAGCCCAAAAAGTTTGAAAAACACTGTCTTATATGAAAGCAAAATTTAAAAGAAAGTTTTTAAGTTTGGATTTGCAAAAAGGCAGGCAGCAATCTGGGACACATCCTGAAGTCCTCAGAGCTAGGATAGGAGAAAGAAAAGAGAGAAGGGAAGGGAGGAATCATGGCACTCAGAGAGGAAGATTTCTCTGAACTGGAGTGGTAGCAGTCTCATTCACGGACACTGGTGGAGGAGCATGCAGGTTGATTTGTACACATCCGTAAAGCAGGTAGAAAGGTGAAGTTCAGAGCTGAGGGTGATATTCAATTTACCAATAGAGGCAGTCAGCTAGAAACATTTATGCTTAGGTGGTGACATGAGAATCACTCCTGTGGACCATGCCACTATATACAGGCAGGAAGTAGGATTGCAATGCTGTGCCACACCATGGTGATGTGATACCATTGTGCTTAAATATATGCCATTCCCGTAAATACGTCCTATTTTGGACACAGGCTTGCAACAACAGCACAGGGATTATTTTGGTTTCCAGACAAATATGATTTTTGTAGTAGCTCTAAGGGAGTGGCCTGGAGATTTCAATATCACATAATTATTCTTTGATTGCTGCATGAAGCCACAAAAGTGGCAACAACACGGGTGTCTTCTCTTCTCCCTGTTTAGTTTGCTTTCCCCCACTTCCTGGCAGGGAACCTACCTCTGCCTAACCTCTGGTTAGTGGTGTGTGTCCATTATAGCAAGTGCTTCATGTCAAGATGTCCAACAGACTGGGTCTGCAATTTAGGGAAATTTTCCTATTCAAGCAGAATGCTCAGGCACTGTACCTATCATGAAACACATGCTTATGTGTATGTATGTGCTTAAGTACCTTCCTGAATTGGAAAGAAAGTACCAAATCAGCAGTGAATTACAACCCTTGAAGCAGGCTGGGTGAACTACAGGGCAATGTGGTCTTTTAGTGACAGTGACAATGGTGATACTTGTTGCAGAGCATGGCAATAGTAAAAAAGTTCTTAGCTCAGTTCATCCAGTTGCTCTCATGGCCCTAAGAACTGGGGACCAGTATGCTTTTCTTTATGGTTTTATTATCTCAGTGGACTGCATATTGCTATGAAGTAAATAAAATATTGGGGAAGAGCTTGTCTGGCATTGGCCCCAGTCCTCCCACCAAACCTAGGCTGATCTGCAATGGAAAGACACAATGAATGAACTAGAAGCGCAAGGAAAGGATCCATGAGAGATGTTCAGCCCTACTTTTTGGTTTGGATCAATGTTCATTTTCAAGGCTGCATTGACAAGGAAGGCAATAAAGCAGCAGCCCAGACTTGGCAGGATGGATCTTCACACCTCAGGTGTATGGGTCCGATATGACATGTGTGATTACTTTTATTGCTTTAGGGCAAGATCCCTCCAGAGATGGACTTTAGAGCCCTCCAACTTAGGCCTGAAAATGTGTCTATGCTTAGGAAAGTGATTTAAAGTAACAGAGTCAGGGATATGGACTCCCTGTACAGCCAATTGGGAGAGAGAGGTGCCTCTGAACAGAAAGTCCAGATGCTGGATGTGGAGTCCCATAAAGCTGAGCATTAAGAAGCACTAATCACAGGGAATATCTGAACACCCACCCCTCTGTGGAGCTTTGATGCAAGGGTATGCATTAGGTACTTCTGTTCCTTAGGGTCTAGAGTGCCATGTGCCCTTCTCAGAACAGGCTCCATCACAGACGATGGTGGCAGTGGTGAAAATAGCTTAGGAGAATGGATAGGGACCCTAAATAACCCCTCCTAGCTGAGTACCTTGAACCACTGGCCACAGAATCAGGAACCCTCTTGCATGCTCTTTTCTGTCCCCATCACTCTTGCACAATAGCCAAACTTCAACAGGTGGGATGGAGGGTGCCAGAGCACACTATAGCATGGTGGTTAGAGACAAGCATGTGAAAGATGTTGGTTTGAATCTCCTTTGGCTGATGACCTAGGGCATGTGAAGACAAAACGGGGGCCCTAAATTGAAGCAGTGGGTTTTTAAAAACACTGCTTCATTTAGGGCCCTTTAAACCCTGGTGTCATGCACACACCCACTTACCTGTCTCTCCAGCGGCACAGAGGGGAGGGCAAGCTGTTGGCAGGCGGAGCAGTCTCTGGGTTGTGGAGGGGGCTGGTGTTCCCCTCCGCAGCAGTATTACGCCGCCAAATTTGCTACAGCTGCTGGAATTACTACACAATACACCGCCAACATGTGCAAACACGAACACCATTAAAGTGGTGTGAAAGCATTTAACCCACCTTAAAGTGTTGTGCATGCATGCCCCTCATTTCATCTACGCACGGCCCTAGAATTCAGGTCTCTCACTGCTGGACTATTTCCCTAACCATTAGACCACTGTGAAAAAGGTGGGTAGTAGTGGCACTGCCATTACTGTGTGACTACTCTAAGAAAAGCATGTAGTGCTCTGGGTGCAACTGAATGGAAGTGCCTAACCTGCAGCTCTGAGTCAGACACCTGAGCCCTGGAGAGCAGCAGGAGTTCAGACACAGCCCTGTGCGTAGTGCTTCCTATTGGCTCCCTACTCTATAGGCTCTCTGAAACTGTAGCATAATGATGGGTGGGCGAATGGGGCATGAGACCTGAATACTGCCAAAGGGAAGGTGCTAGAATACAGCTAAGTTGGCACCTCACCCTCCCATTTCCTCTTCCCCACACTGCGCTTTCCCCGCAGTGGCCCTGGCTCTGGCAGTGGGGAGGGCAGGGCAGCGGTGGCAGTTGCACACATTACAGGAACAATGGTCATCGGTTTGCTGCTTCTGGGAAGCCAACAGTTCATTTTTTGCTGCCAAAAATGGTACTTATATGGCTGTTCAATGCATGATGGCAGTAAAAAAAGGCAGTGGCATCTTCAGCAGCAGGAAACCTCTGGTTGCTGCTCCTGCCCAGGGCGCAGTAGTGGCAAGTTATGCCTTTGCCCTGACTCACTGTCTGACAGTAGTAGCTCCTCATTGTCTAAATAGGCAGGCAGGGTCTTCACTCATTTCTTTGAATTACTCTTGCAAGGCCCAAGTTAGAGGTGTCTAAAGTGTCCCTTAGATCTCATTCTTTAATGTCAGTGGAAGTGGGAACACAGCAGAGTGGCTAACCAGCATGAACACTGTATGCATTTTTCTATTCCCTGTTCAAGCACAGCGAGTATCTCCTTTTCCCCCTTTAATTTAGGTTATAAGAGTTCAACGCCAGTGAAATTTCTGAACATCAGAAGAAAATTAACAGCTCAAAATATGGATATTAATGGCTCGGAATAGAACACAGATTTTCTTTACCTGCTTCAAACTTGTCATCATGCTGCAAAAACAAATATGTTATCTTAATCCAGTTACTGTAAAGGTCACAGTGAAAAGTCCCATTAAAGGCTGATAAATGAAGTCAGTTCGTCTTAGTAAGAATTTTTCATTTAAAATGATTATTCTGTTAGTGACAGAAGCTAATGGGTTAATAACAGGATATTTCCCCCCCCCCCTTTTTTTTTTTTTTAAGAAACAACAGACAATGTGCAATAGGAACAGCAAAACTTACAACTCACAGGCCTCTGGAAAACAGCAACTTTCAAAAATCAGCCTCTCTGCTCTTTCTACAGATACATTTCCCAAAACCTAGCATGTGTGACTCTGGGGATAGAAATAGACATTGTCAAATTAAGTGGATCAGCAGTGTTAGGATGTGTCCTAGCACAGCTGATCTGCTTCATTGGGCGAAATACACATTGCCTGTTGGCCTGCCTGTTGATGCTGCAGGACAACAGGTGAAGTGTTCTCCCAGGGCTCGAGTGGCCCAGTCCTGTGCACCCTGGGAATTTCTGCACAGGATTGGGCCCCTCAAGCCCCTGGAGCATCTACCTGCAGTGGCTGGAGATTGCAGGTAGCTCCATGCTGTCTGGGTTCTCTTACCATGAAGCAAATAGATGCCATTGCCTGCCACTAAACAGTCACACAAAATGATACTATCTTTGTTGTGAGCATAATTTTTGAGCATTTGTGGCATAACAAGGGGCATGAATGTCTGCTTGGCCTTTGTGCCACCACAAAAAAAAATTATGGAGTCACAAAGACAACAAAAGGCAACATCTGTTTCCACCTTGTGTTCACCAAATCTACTCTAGTCATGTAAAACAGCTTTTCTTGAGTTTGGCATGCTCATCAAAATCACAATAATCAGCCAGGTATTTAAAGAGAATGAAATGTCCTACTGGAGTGGCAACCTTTGAGATTCCTCTTTGTCCAACACAGAGAACACCTTCCACTGTATATAGACACAATATGGCATTGACAAATGACTAAACAAAATGGCCATGCATTTGCCTTTGATCCAAATTTTTTTCAGAGACTTTTGATTATGAATAGTTCCCGATTTTTTTAATATCAGTAAAGTTATTAGTTTATTTTCTTTACCAGCTTCTACATATCAGCGGCTTCTTACAGTCTGTTGAGGAATCTGAAGAACACATAAATGGGATGTTGAAATTGCCAGTTTCACAAATGTTGTGCTAACATATATTTGAGTCTCTCATAAGACTTATGGAAAATAACAGCACCCTTCAAGTGAGCGCTTTGGATCCTGCTGGTACAAATGGCAAGTGTGTTAATTACTTGCTGAAATTTTGCATCAGATGCTCACTAATCACATTGACAGAGGACATCTGTTCTGCTTTCCTTAGTGTTTAAACAGCTAAGTCTTTTACAATACTCCTGTATAATACTTGCAATATGCCTGTTGACATTGCATTCTAACATAACAACCATTCCATGTCATTAACTCATTTTAACTGCTTCCAGGGAATCTTATCGTGCATGAGACCAGCTAGTCTTTTTCACTTCAGTAAAAACTGACATAACCTGCACAACAATCTCAGCACAAGCTTGGGTCTGCTGGCAGCCACCTTAGATTACTGTCTAAACTTCTGGATTCTTACCTGAACTAACTCATTTTTTACCAGTTTTCAATGTGCTCTTACCTTTGTTTTGCTTAAGGTGATATAGTACTCATATTTTAACTTGTACTCCCCTCTCAGGATTAGAATAGAGATATTTGTCCAGGACCTGAATAGCTGGGTGTTATGACAAGGCTGATTATTGTAAACAGTAGGGCTGTGTGAGGCTTCAGACAGAGCTTCGGATGCTTTGGGGTCCAAAGCAGCACATCTGGGTCAAAGCACTGTCTCGTTTGGCTTCCCGAAGCGGTTCAGAGCTTCTGGAGAGCTTTGGAGCCACCTCGGAGATCTTGCCATAGGGTATAATGGGGAAACAATAAAATATCTATAACTTTGTTGTTTTTTTGCCCGATTTGGATAAAATTTTCAGGGGTGGTAGACTCTGCAGAGAGCATGAAGCCTGCCAAGTTTCAAGAAGATCAGCGCAGGGTTTGAGGGTAACTGCACCCCAAATTTGTGAAAGCAAAACACATGTCACGTTTAGGTGTTACAACACAGAGGGGTGAAAACTGCAGGGGTGGTAGCCTATTCTGAGGCCACAAATTCTGCCAAGTTTCAAGAAAATCGGTGCAGGGGTTTGGGGGAACTGCACCCCAAAGACTTGAAAGCAAAACTCATGTCATGTCTATGTGTTACAGCACAGGGGGGTCAAAACTGTAGGGGTGGTAGCTCTTGTTGAGGCCACAAAGCCTGCCACGTTTCAAGAACATCAGCATAGGGGCTTGGGGGGAACTGCCCCTCAAGCTGTGGACAAGCAAAATTGTGCCATGGGTGACACTGCATGTGTTAAGGCGCAGCGGGGTGACAGCTGCAGGGATGGTGGCCCCTGCTGCAGCCAAGATGCCTGCCATCTGTCGAGGATATTGGTGCAGGGGGATTCTGGAGCCTTCCACCCCTAGCTGCTGACAGGCAAAACTTGTGCCATGGGTGCTTGTGGGACTGACTCTGCTTGTCTTGGTGCATGGGAGACACTACTGCAGGCCTGGCTGCTAAGCTACTGTGTTACCAGTTACCTGTCAATCGTGATTCACTCAGGGACCAGCTCAATATATAGGACCTAGTTAATGTAGCCAGTTAATTGCCATCAATTAGCACCTACAAAACCAGGCTAAGGAGAGGACAGAATCAATACAATCAACTGCCCCAAGACAGACACAGTCAGTCCCACAAGCACAAGTTACGTCCATCAGCAGCTGGGGTGCAGGGCCCAGAACCCCCCTGCACCAATCTCCTTGACAGCTGGCAGGCGTTGTGGCCGCAGCAGGGGCCACCATCCCTGCAGATGCCTTAACACACCCAGTGTCACCCATGTCATGAGTTTTGCTTGTCTGTAGCTTGAGATGCAGTTCCCCCCAAACCCTTACACCGATCTTCTTGAAACTGGGCAGGCTTTGTGGCCTCAGCAAGAGCTATCAGCCCTGCAGTTCTGACCCCTCTGTGATGTAATACTTGGACATGACAGGAGTTTGGCTTTCAAGAATTTGGGGTACAGTGCCCCCCAAACCCCTGCACTGATCTTTTTGAAACTTTGCAGGTTTCATGCTCCCAGAAGAGGCTACCATCCCTGAAAGTTTCATCCAAATTGGACAAAAAACAACAAAGTAATAGCTATTTCATTGATTCCCCTATTATACCTTATGGCCGGATCTCCGAGGCAGCTCCAAAGCCTCGGAGCCACTTCAGCTGGATCAAGGCGGAAACCCAGTTCAGAGTTCTGGATTGGATCACTGCCATCCGAAGTGGCCAGATCCGAAGCTGAATCGGATTGCTGCCGACTCACTCAGGCCTAGTAAACAGCATTATTAAGAACATTAAAACAATTAAAATGAACAGAAAAAGGGAATATTTCAATTTGAGAAGTACAGTTGAGAAAGGGGAAGATTTTGCCAGCACTCAGTCAGTTGGTTCTGAGGACTCCTGAATGATTGCCATTGTCCCCAGCATGTGCAAAGAGTATGTGTATTGCAGAGTGAGACTACTCAGGAGAGAGATCAAAGTCAGTAACACTATACATCTGCAATACTGAGAAGAGATTATGGTTAGGAGTCTATTTAATTCACAGTGAGACAAAGCAATTTTTCAGCTTGGTTGCGGCACAAAGAGCTGATTTTGTGGGCATTTCCTGGTGGTCCTGCTCCTTGCTGCTGATTAGTGGAGAGGCAAAAGTATTATGTATGTATATTACCATATTACTATACATATAAGTATTACATTTAAATATAAATTTAAATATAATATAAATTTACATACAGTATTAACTGTACCTTATATCATAATAATTTATTATTATATGTACTGGTCTACAAAAAGTTTAGTAATACTAATTAATGCTAATCTTAAATTTTCATTTTATTGGTTGGCACCTTCACTTAATCTATGTCACCAGCAGATAGTAACTCTCAATCACGTGATCTATGGCTGTAGAGATTTTGCATTGTTTTTGTACTGCGATAAGCATTGGGACAGTGTAAAACAGTGTAGCATATGAATAATATGCTGGGTTGTTCTCAGGTTTATTTTTCAGGAAACTGCCAGTTTCACAAATATTGTGCTAATGTATACTTGAGTCTCTCAGAAGACTTATGGAAAGTAACAGCATCCTTCAAGTGAGCTGCTTTTGATCCTGCTGGTAAAAATGGCAAGTGTGTTAATTACTCACTGAAATTTTGCATCAGATACTCACTAATCACATTGAAAGAGGACAGTCTAAAACAATGCATCATATGAGTAATATGCTGGGTTTTTTTCAGGTTGATTTTTCAGGACACTGTGGCCAATGCAATATTTCCTAGTGATTGTGGACAACCTAGTTTTTCACGGTTTTCGTGAAAACTGTGAATTAAGAAGACAACCCTAACTATGGTTGAAGACCCAGGTCAAAGACATATTCTTTGTATCACAGACACGGCCAAGGCCCTCATTTTGTATTTTCCATGGGCTTGTACAAACACATGCTCTCTCTAATTTAGCTGCTGCTGCTCAAGTCTCATATTCATATTTAATACATCTTTGTCCCCATGACTGGTGCAACTAGGTGAATTTTTACAAGTCATAAGAATCCATGCAGCTGCCAAAGATGTTGCTTTGTGTGTGAAAATATTAAAATGTTGGATAAGAAAACTGCAGATTTGGGCCCAGGTTGGTTAGTATTCATGGACAGAGAAACATAGAAAGGATGGTATTGTAGTTCAGGCACTGGGCTGGGATTTAAGAGATCTTGATACAGTTCCTGGTGCCATAACCTTGGAAAGTCATTTAGGCTCTTTGTGTCATGTTTCTCAAAGGTGTCAGGGTAGAGCCAAGGGTAGACCAGAAGTTTGGTGGCACAGAGGATAGATCTGAGTTACAAGCCAGAGGGTCAGAAACCAGAAGTCAGGAACTAAACACCAAGCCAGGGGACTAACTAGAATCAGGGTTCAGGGAGCAGACCAAAG